ATCTATAAAAATTGCTGCTTTGGTTGTTAGAAGGGGCATCGGCCTCGTGGCTTCCGAAGGAACTCGGCTTTCACCATGAGGTGTCATAGTTCTTTTAAATGAAGACCTTCTAACTCCCAGGTCAGAGTTTGAATTATTTTTTCTGGTCAATGTTTTTTAGTGAGTTAGTTTTCTACGGGATGGGGTCGCTAAATCATGCCCAACCCTCCTCCTTTACCCGGGCTTGGAACCGTCAGTAACTCTAGAAGAGCTACAGGTGGAGTTGAACCTCTGACAGTAATAATAAAAATTAATATAAATAATGAACTGGAAGAGAATTAATAGGATTCTTAAAAAAAGTCAATTGTTTGGTCAGAAATTATGCAACGTGCAAAAATCCTGTGGATTAAGTTAGAAATAATAAGAGTAGGATAAATGGTGTAAACCCCGCGTAGGAAGAAATCAGGAAGAAGTGCTGGAAGTGGATAGGACACACATTGAGGAAAGCACCCAACTGCGTCACAAGACAAGCTCTCACATGGAATCCTCAAGGCCAAAGGAAAAGAGGAAGACTGAAGAACACATTACGCCGAGAAACGGAGACAGACATGGGAAAACTGAACAAGAATTGGATGGAGCTAGAAAAGAAGGCCCAAGACAGAGTGGGTTGGAGAATGCTGGTCGGCGGCCTATGCTCCATTAGAAGCAACAGGCGTAAATAAGTAAGTAAATGGTGTAAAATTTATCAGATACCATCATTTAGGATGAGAAAAGAATAGCAAAATTAACTGTAATGACAATATTTTTGAAAAGCCAGTTGACAAGCGGATGGTACAGCGGGTTATTTACATTTATGATAAGTCGAAGAAGAATTTGTTTTCTTATGATTAAGTGCTTATCCATAAAATCTTAGCATGTTAAACCAATAGAAAAATCAGAATATTTTAAATTTAATTGATCAAACGATAATAATCTTCATTATTTCACTTCAAAATAATGTAAACAAATATTAATTAAATTGTTTTTTTGTCAAGTTTCGAAGAGTGACATACAAAAACTCGGATCATCCACAGTCAACTCAGACACAGTCAATGAAATGAGAAATTTATGTAAACAAACCCGAAGTTGTACTTTACGTTTGACTCAATGCATTTCACCAGCCTTCGAGGACCTAAAATGTGAAATTGACCCAGTACTTATTCAAATGTGTCGAGATTTTAATATTCAAGTTAAAGATAATGGAGATTCAGGAAAAGCAGTCTGTGTTTGACATATTTTGTTCACTTTGAAAAAAATATGATGTAAGGTTAAATGTTTTGTTAAATATTTATAAAGGTGTTCAGATTGAATCACTTATAAATGGAGAAATATAATGTGTATTTTTACCACAAGCATTAGTTTTGATAAATTTACTGCTTAACTTTTGTTTAAAATGTCTCTTATAGCTTTTATGGCCCAGTGATCTGACATTGGATTGATCGAACGATGATGTTAACGAAACGTACATCCCGGTTGCCCTCTTGCATAAATATAGACTTAATTCGCATTAGTGAAATAATGGAATAAAATAAGGCAAATACGAGAATGAATTTTGGATACGTATGTTTCATACACTTGTTGATTCAACCATACTATTAGGGAAACAAGGTGACGAAGAAGGCCGGAGAGAGCAAACACGACAACTCCGTTTGACAAAGTGTGACTCAATATTTATAAACAGAAAAAAATGCTAAAGACATGTGGTGAGAAGGGTAAGTGATGGACAAGCATACGCTCATACAAAATCAATGAAGGTCACGGGCGAATAATTGACAAGGTCAAAATATGACTCAAGAAGAATAAATCTTTTGATCTGTCCGGAAGTTAGAATAAGCCATATGAACATAAAACTGTACCAGACACTACATAGTGTATTTAAATCCTAAATATGGGTTTGAAACCTATTACAAAAACGTAATTTTACCAAAGAGCATGAGATCCAGCAAGAGGAAATCTACATTTAAATATTGCTACAGATTGGTTCAAATATTCAGACACCGGAAAATGATGTATAGAAAATGATTTATAGAAACGTTCTACGTTTAGGGATGTAGATCACTAACATAGATGATCTTGGTCGAATAATTGAGGGCTTACTCAAGTTGAACGGGAATGGTGTGACGAACCAACTAACTTCGAAGTTACACCTCGCGGTCAGCACTTAACGTGGATCACTTTTTCATCGTATCAAGGTTTGATGACTGCACAACACAAAGGATGTTATTACAGAAATATGTTTATAAGGGTGTGAACAAAAAAGATAGTGCGACCACCACCGCATGGGCCAGTCCGTGGCATGCAGTTAACTTATACGTGTTGGTCGTTTTTGTCATTCAGAAGGATCAGTGAACTGTCCGACATTCATTGACCTGAAAGCCGGATGATTTGGCTAGAGCTCAGTGAAATTCCTTTGGCCCTATTAGGGTTAAAGGATGTTATCCTCTATGGATCTTAGTGAGAGTTCAGCTTTTCATGAGTAACTTTCTGATGAGTGTCACAAGAAGAAAACCCAAGTTCAAGATTTTACATGGTTGTTTTAAGATCCTACTACTTTATATTGTATGCACTATGTACTAAGTTTATTGACCTCCATCGAAATGGTTTAATCAATATTCAAAATTACTGAATCCCTCTGGCTATCATTCAGTGGATTATTTCGTTAAAAATCTACTGTTTTTCGACAAAAACACAACTCGTTTACTAGTTGATCAGAAAATTATAATGATAGCAAGATAAAATTGTCATTATAAAATCCTCTGTACTTTCTTAATCTGAGATGATCAGAGGAGTAGTTACATATTTGAGTACGACAGTTACTTATGACCACGGAAAATCAACTAAAATTTTTAACAGCTTAGAATTTCTTGAAATGATAATAATACCAGTTCAATTATTCCCTTAATTTAGTTAGAACTGAAACTATATTAATTTTTTTCCTTGAGAGGTCAATAACAATTAGAGTCATCGCTCTACTTTTACTTATGATTGTTATTATTATAAATATTTACCTTTATTTCTTGTTTAAAAGATAATACTTTCAAAAACATTGAACTTCAGTAAACAAAAACTAGAATCTTAGATTAGGATTATCTTTCAAAATCACTTGAAAATTATCTACAGATTACTACCAACCTTAGTAAAAAAACTGTATAAATCAATAGTTATTGTGTACTCATAACTCGCTAGCTTTCGGTTAGATTTTGTTTAAGTTCTTCTAGGAAACAGTAGCCAGTAATGTTTATTTAATCAGAATATAAGTAGTATCTCACTGATGATGTTGGATCTGGACCATGTTATCCCACGAATCAACTAAAGTTTTTTTTTGTGAGTCATGGTATGTGGAATCGGAAACTTACAATTTTAATACCAGTGCTAAACTTGAGGGTCCTGATACCGAAACCGTGTCAAGTCGTGTGCGGCTACTGATAAGATGTTATGAGTCAGTGTATTTTGGCACCATTGAAACATAAAAGTGCATAAGGTAATCAAGAAGGAAACATCTTAATCTTTTAAACCTATCTTTTTCTAGAGAGTTTTCATCATAAACTAACATCATTTGAGAGATTAGTAGACAATTTTTCATTAAATATGAGAAGAGTATATTAGTATTGTTGGGGTTATTTTGTATAATTATAACATTTAGTAGTTAAACGATATTTCTGTAGACCAAAGGGATAATAATGTCGGAAGAGAATGTGAACAAAGCATGAACACAATGACTTTTGAAAGAGAAGAGCAAGAGAAGACTGCGAGCCTACAATAGTAATTTCGAGTAAATCTTGACATAGGAGGCTTGCTTAGACTATCATCTAAATAAGGTACTCTGACGTACATTGCATCACCTGGAAAGTTTAATCCTTCCGATGGATGTTTATTGAATGTTGACTTAATGTCATCAAACTTTTCACCACCAAAAACCTTGACGTTTATTCTGACTATCATCAGCGAATTCCTGTCCTGTATCCACGACTTTTATTCCTTATTGGGTCTCAAATTGCTGCCCTCTTCTCATTGCTAATTCAAAAGGTGATTCACTATCTCAATCAAAAATATTTCAAGGGTTTACTCTTCTTAGTCTTCAGAGCATTTAAACATCTGACTTCACACTGGCAGCGAATAATCTGGTGGAAGGGGCTCACTGTCCATTGAAGAGCTTGCGTAATTTACAGACATGATCGTGAAATAAAGTAATTACTTACAACTTATAGCTCCTTATACCTGTTTAATCTCCAAAAAGACCTTTCATATAAATCATTCTAGGTACTGTAAAGTAGAACTATTACTTTCTAGGAAGGCTGGTTAGCAGCTGTCATGATGTTCTTATAACGATCGAAATACAATCGTTTTTCTGAGGGCAGTAAATGGTAGAACGAAGTCATGATTTGTTCGAATAAACCAAACGGCAAGGTAAAAACGGTAATCCCTTTCAAACCTGTCAACCGTTTCGTTTCAACGACCTTGAACGCGCTGACTGGAAGCGAGCATTCCGTATTTCAATTGCCGTGTGTGTGTTGGGTCCTATGAGTATTAAATGTTTCCATATATAAGTCATCTTTTGATGCATAATAAACACAATAACTGCTAAGAGCATTAACTGAGTATTTTCTGTTTTGTAGTGCACACTTTAGCTCTGTTGTTCCTTCGAAACTTGATCTGTGGTCCTAAGTGCTGTAGTCAAAGTCAACAGCTATATATAATTTGTTGATAAGGTCCAGAAAACAGCGTAAGAAAGATAAAATAACGTAAAAGGTTATAGATGCTCATAGTTTTTGTGAGTTAAGACGAAATGTCAACTGAAGGGTAAGTCCTAAATATTTGTTGTTCTTCCTTCAGTTAGTTTTTTCAAGGAATAACCTTTTTTTAATAACTATTGTATGTTGTCTCTAGTGCTTCATGCTCAAGTGAAATTTCAGTGGACGTAAGTGACGCGTTCCAACGTATTATGCTGAACAAGAGATTCGGAAGCTGTGTAGCGGTAAATAAATCCCTAAAATAAATAGCTCTGTAAGGTTTCGACATTGGATGCTGACCATATGTTTTAGTGGACTCATCTAGCTGAAGGCGCTCGGTCAAGCATCCGCACCAGATCACGTGTGGTAACGCCGTGCTCAACATCAGTCGCAATCACTAGCCAGATTAGATCAGAGAATTCCGATATATTGGTCATCGCCAAATATACTCTTCCGATCTCCTCGACTCTGTCTTTTGATTTCTCTGGGTGGGAACGAAATACATTAGGTGTTACTGGTAGAAGCGTTGTCAAACACTGAATACCTGTGACATCATCAGCTGGATTGAATCAGATAATGCGCTAAAGGATTTCCATAAAGTATGATAGGATAACTCTATGTTTTCTCAGATGATCCATACACACTATGTTCACGCAGAAAGTAGATTGTTGAAGGATGTGAGATATAAATACTTGTTCGTAGTGTTTCGTTGCACGTTTGGTCGTAAACGTAAATCAGAAGGTCTGAATGTGAATAAAAAACCGTGAGGACTCTAACTAATGTGTTACATTTAAGGTCTAAATTTTTAAATTGCCAATCGATGTTTCGCGTAAGATTGGAGGGTCAACAATACGTTATAAAATCTTACAACATGTCTCGCAACCATCCGTGTACTAGTTCGTGGATGGTTTGTGATCCGTTGAGTAGACGATTGTCATCAGAAGAAAAAGAAAACTTGAAACCAGTTATATTGCACTGTCAGTCGACGGACGAAGTTATCGAAAGTATTAAGGAAAGAACAGGTAAGCAGGTGACCGCTGCTGATGTCAAAAATATGAAAGCTGAACTGTCCACTGGAAAGTGTATATAAATATATTTCAGGTTGGACTCGGAAGCAGGTATTGCAGATGATGCGACAAAACGGTGAAGTTAGAGAGCATGCAGAAAATGGATGTATTACGGCGATATGCTTCAGCAGTTATGATCAGATACGGCTGTACAATCAATATCCCGAAGTCGTGTGTATTGATTCTACTTATAAAACTAATAATAAAAAGTGAATATGATTTTCGTTTTGTTCTACTATGTAGATATTCATTATTCCAATTAGTGGTGACAGACACTGCCTTTTACGGCAGTGTATTAACTTTGGGTAACAACACGAATAATCGTGTTGAGTCATTAAATATGCAGATAAAAAGGTATGTACGCAAAAGCGACAGCTTGCACAAATGCATGTACAAGGCTTTTAAGTGGAGTTCAATGACATTCTCTAGAAAAAGCATTGAAGACCAAATAATCAGTGGAAGAACATACAATTATGATGCTCCACAGCGTCTTATCCCCTTACTTAACATGTTGACTCCATTTGCAAGATCCAAGGTGTTATGCGAACTTAAAAAAATGCGTTTTGTTAACTTAGAATATGAAAGCGGCGAGTGGTTGTTTATGGTTGACAGCGGACAACGTTACGAAGTGGATGTAATTATTTGTCAATGTAATTGTAGCACGTTTAATATGTGTCGATATCCGTGCCGCCATCTCCTGCTGGCATATGTTAAAAGACGAAATCTAACAGGTAAGCTATTTAAATTATAAAATATAAACTGCATAGCTCATCAATTTCTTAGGTGTTGCTGCAGATGGAAATTAGACAATAGGTACAACTTACAAAACAACACAGCAATTTCATTACGGAGACGGAGTAAAGAATATATACAACTTCAACGGCTTCAAAGAATGTGCAAACAACAAATTGTTGAGAAATATGGTGAACGCTTCGCGAATCAGGTGGAGAGAAAAGTCTACAATTTTTACTTAAGAATTATAAACAGCTAGACAGCAGGTTTACGATTAACAGTTCTTTGTGGCTTTATTTTATACCACTATTTATACAACTTGTAAACTTATCTTTCCACTTTAGTAGTCATGAAAAATCAATAAACTTTTTCTCATTTTTTATTTTCGTCTTCTTCATACTTTCATGGGGAGGTTTACCAATCGCTTTAACGAATAATTGTGTGTGACAATTAAGAATTTGTACTACTGTATTAGTTACGAACTGTCGTTAGAATTTAGCGTTATATCGTTGTTCATTGTGATGAATCAACGAGTCAAATAAAACAACAACGCGACTTCCACGTAAAACCTTACAGATTAAACAACCGCCTTACATACTTTTCGTTGTCAGATTACGTCCATTATCAAGGTAGTATTAGTATGGAACTAGACAATTTCATGCAGCTAGTTCCCTGATAAGATGGATTACGTAATCCTTAGACCACCCTTCCACTCACACTTCTTTGCTAAATTATGTTAACTCTTCAGATTGTCTTTACTTATCTTATTAGTTCTTAATTCACTGATTTATTCATTACATCTAGAATTATTACACAATTTATCTTGTATGCTTCTGAGCTTCACTCGACTATTACACCACCCATCCTTTATGTCCCCTTAAGTCTAACATCAAATGACCTTTGACCTGTTCAAGCATATACATATGTATAGTTATTATTGATAACCTAGGTCATTCCAATTCTTTGCTTTCTATTATCTTTCATACTATTTCTTCCCTCAATCTTAAATTATAATGCATATTCAGTTGTATGCAACTTGTGAGAAACCACGAAATGTAATGCAGTCACATGACTCTGCGTCAATATTTGTTTTGGCTTTATTTAGACCATAATTATACAAACTTACAGGATTTATAATGTAAAACACTGCTTATGGTTGTTATATTTATATTTAAATAATTCATTAGATGAGTGAACATAGCAGTAGGCAATATAAAACAGTTATCGTAAACTTGTAAACCGGTTTTCCACACGATCTTCCATAATCCTAAATTCCATAAGCTTCATACTATTCTGAAAAACAAATCCGTTTTGAGACAAACAATTAAACTTTGTTCTCAGTATCATATTCAACAAGTTATTCAAATAGCAAGTAACAGACTGTACCTATAAGTCTTTTATTTACAAGTAGTGACATTCATTTATAACTTCCTAAGTAACACAACAACTGTATTACCGAGACGGAGTGAAGAGTTTATAATAACTCATTTGTGAACCCTATAACAGACACGTCACAAATCAGTATTAACTAAAAAACATGGTTGTGTCACCATGCTCCAAAGAAACACAGATCGTTTTACTCATGAAGATTTTGTTCCTACTTGATGTGGTGTTATACACTATTACTGCAGACGTTCACAAAGCCGCTGGACAACACTATAAACGTCAATTGTCACTCACATAATTTTTCTCAGACACGTTACATATTTATGTCACTTCAGTACAAAACAATGGTACCTCTAATGGATATAACTGTTTATGGCTAAATACAAACAAGTTATATAATATTCACAATTAGGTTAAAGCTTGATTGCTTCTACTTACATTTTATAAACAACTACCGACATCCATGTTCACTGTCACCGCAATCAAGGAGGTGAACCATATGTAAAAGATTTTACGGTTCATTTTCATGAAAACTCCATCTGTGATGTATTTTTTGACTAGTAACACGGTGAACTTTACTTGCTTGAGTTTGTATTGTTACAAATAACTATATTAAGCTAACTTCAGATTTACTTACGTGGTGAGCAAGAAATACGTCAAATTGCCAATAAATTGGAATAAAATCTATGTTACAAGCACTAGCAATACAGAAATTGATGTCATGGAAAAAAGCCTGTTAATAGCTGATAAATAACGACACAAAAATTCCACGACAATATGTAACGTGTGCGCGAAAATCCGTGGCTTACCCGCCAGTCCGTGCCAACCAAACTACTGCTGCAGTACGTATTTTCAGCGGTTAGTTGCAGGTAGGAGAGAATTTTAACAACAGCACCCAAGTCAGGATCAGTGAATGTCTCGGGAGGAAGAACTCGACGTACTAGTACAACATATATATTTCCAAAATCGGATGTCTCATTTCGGGTACGAAGGGGAATAACCTATTACAAAATAGTCTCATCCATCATTCTACAAGTTCAGTTCACACTACTCTTCTTTTATTACGTTTACCCTTCACTGCCTGTTCCACAGCATTTTTTTGTATTGTGTACGAGGTTTACTCGAGTCGTTCAAAATCAGTGTTACTTCAGATATACAACACATTTCTGGGGCAAACAATGTAGTTGCAGATGCCTTGACTCATACCAGTCTCCTGAACTGTTTCCAAGGTATGAACTGTCTTAAACTCGCCCAACTTCGAAAAGAAAGAACGAATTATCTTAAACAGCCCTGGAAATACGAATCAAGTAGATGAAAACAGATAGGGAAACTTTACTATATGACACATCTATACTAGTGATCTCACAATCACCCCAAAAGTTTATCCACGCATCGTCTTCGATACGTTGCATCGACCTACGCACTCAGGTATTCAAACAATGATCCAGCTCATAGCAGGTCGAATTTGCTAGCCTGGTATGAGTAAAGACGTAGAGGAGTGAGTACACTCTCGTGTATGCTGCAAGACATCTAATGTGATTGAACACATCAAATGTCCCTTAAACTCCATCACAACTTCCCACGCTACCTTTTTATATGTTTGTTTTAGTTTGCCGGAACTCTTACCAGATTCAGGTGGATACTCCTCTCTTACGGTGCGTATACGGCTTCACACGATGACCAGAAGCAACGCATACCTAAGACATTACTACTGAATCACTGTCACACGCATTCGTCAAACGATGAGTAGCAAAATTCAGCTGCCCTTCAACGAACACTACGGACCGTGAACGCCAATTAAAATCCGGACACTCCCACTAGGAACAACGTGATTCTGCACAATCATCTACTTTTAAGAGCTAATGGATTAGTAGAACGATTTCACCAACAGTGGAAGGCTTCACTCTCACGTGCCAACTTAGCTCAATGGACTGACACTCTTCCACTCGTGTTACTTGGCATTCGAAATTCAGTAAAAGCTGACGTCGAACACTGAGGCGCAACTCCTTTCAGGAACAAGACTTGAACTTTCAGGAGAATTCGTGTCCTTCATTTATATTAACGAATTTGGATCTGAATTCCTCCATCAGCAGGCTCGTAAGCACTATGCGTTCTGTTAAATCTGTTCACATTAGGTCGCAGTCCAATGATGTTCTCGCTCTAGCTGTCTTACAACTTAGTACACGAAATTTTTACGACGCGATATATTACAATGACTCCTCGAAACTGTATATTAATGACCCTTCTAAGTTCTTCATTGCAAACCTAATTACTATACCATTCATAGGTACGGAACAAACGATAACATCAACGTTCACCGTCCTAAACTCGGTTTGCTTGGAAGGAAACCGTGACTTTGTCGACTTTTTTCGCGAACAATTTAACGATACAGGTCTTACGACCATAATGTCATTGCTGATAATTAATGGCGATAAAACGCCGCTGGTATCCGATTGCTTGCTCAAGCAATGCGCTCAACAAGAACGGCAAGATTACGGAGCCCTTTATCAACTAGTGCACATAGGACATTGTATAAGTTTCTTGTTTTGTCTCTCCTTCACGTTCACAATTATTTGGCTGGATATCAAGTTAATTAATTTAAGCGCGTCAAAAGATATTGTAGCGGTAAATAAATCCCTAAAATAAATAGCTCTGTAAGTTTTCGACATTGGATGCTGACCAGATTAGTTTTAGTGGACTCACCTTGCTGAAGACGCTCGGTCATGCATCCGCACCAGATCA